AGAAGCACTTCTCGTTTGGCTTATCCTCTTATTTAGTGGACTTAATCATCACTTTGGACAAATTGATTAAAGAATGGCAAGGACTAATAAAATTGGCCTAAAATCAATGAAATCGACATAAAGAAAAGGAATTAGAATAGTTTGTTTGGCCAGACGTTATGCCGAGTCCATCGTGTCAAGAGTCATCACATATCAATTCATGATGTTTTGATGAACCTTAAAGTGTCTCTACCTCTCTCTTTGAGTTCATTCCATGATAAAAGGGAGTAGCGGTTGTTGTTCATTACATTTATTGATTTTTTTGCCCAAAATCGCGTCCGAAAGTATCAAGCAATCAACTTGCTCGTTGATGGTTTTGGAAACGATTTCATTCTTCTCTTGAGGCTTTCCATGACAGAGAAGAGCAGAAGGGACAAACAAAGTTCAGAATAACTCTGTCTGCACTGTTTTCACCTCAGAGCACAAAACAGGGTTTTGCACAAAATTAGGGCATGACCGGCTTTATTTGGGCCCGACCAAGCCTTATTGGGGGTCGGTTCAAAGTTTGATACGCAGTGTGTTTCACAGAAATAGAGGGCAATGGCTGAAGGTAAAATAGGGCAAATTCCAACGAAGACAGACATAGTTACTTCTGAAACCGTTACGTGCATGCCATCCTTGTGCTTCCATTGTAAATTATAAATTAATACTCTCATTATTGTTGTAATTATTATCATTGTAATTGGCATTGTTGTAGCAATGATTCATTAGATAGTTAGTTTATTTTGTTGTAATAAATTAGCTAGTTAGTTAATTATAGCTTTAGCTAGTTAGTTAGTTAGTTATTCATTCATTCGGTTTTGTAATATTTAGTTTAATTGGGACACTTGAACACTCATTTGGACCCTCTTGCATGAGGGCAAATATGTAATAATATATGTATGTCTTCCAACCTCACGTCTTTCTCCCTTTTATTTATTTGCTTATGATGGTTAGTTTAGAACATCATGTTTATTTTAGCATTTTCCATGTATAAATCATCCATTAGTCTTGCATGCATAGGGTTCGGCTCATCACTCTAACGCGCATTGTTAGTTATTGCTTCTTTGAATACGTGCTTAAAACCGCATGCTATCAAATTGTTTCATATGTCATATTAGAAGCCGAACCTATTAATTGCATCTTGTATGTGTTGCATTAGTCATATTGCATTAGTTAGGATTATGCATTTTTCTAACTCTTTTATTTCTTTTTGGCTTGCCTTGGAGTATTAGGTGAGCATTTATCGCTTTAGTATATTGCTTAAGTGTTAGTGTTTCCATGTCAAACATATTCCATGAGGCTAATTGCTTCACTGATATAACTCTTTAGAATGTCTGTGGATAAAGGCTAATTGCTAAAATTTGAATAAATTGATTAATGTACAAACTCACCTTTTTCAAGTGACGCGTATTCAAACCAGTTTTCAACCAAACATGAAATCAAATGTTCTAACTTTTGCAAATTAGTCTATACTTGCGTGCATCACATAGTAATGTTAGCCTAAAAATCGGAACAAGAGCATATAATGAAAATCGCATCATGATTAGTAGAGGTCGATCTTTAATCGAGTGAGTGGGGTGCTTAATTCATGACCTTCCCCTCTCATACCTAGCTTCTCGAGCTGAGACACTTTGGTGATGACGAATAAGTGGCCTTTGGCACGAGTCACGGGTTTCTTAAATTTTTCAAAAATATTTAGATAGCAACTCTGTAATCTGGCAAAGTAGTTTATTTTTGGCATTTGATTCAAACATCGAATTTCCAAAAGAATTGTCGAATTTGAACTTTTTTGTGTTTTCATTGTGTCACATTACACTTGTGAAATCAGATTCAGAACCACAGGAGTCCGAACTGTAGGGCTAGTCGTGTCCGAAAGGAGCACGAAAAGCAAGCTACACACACCCATGGAGTCCAAACAAACAAAAATACAGAATAAAAACAAAAATAAAACTCAAAAAGCAAAACATAGATTTGGAGGAAGAAAGTTAACAGATCTGGTGGAGGATAGTTGCGGTGTGGTGATGGTGGTTCTAGCAGGGAGGAACAACGAATGCGGTAGATCCGATTGTGGTGTGGTGGTAGTGGCGGCAGCAAGAAATGACAAATCTTGCTCTGGGAAGAAAGATCTCCCAAAGATTATCTTGTAGAAAGTAGAAGAAAAAAATAGGGAAGAGAGGAGAGAGGTGGCCAAAAGGAGGTGGCCAAAGGGAGGCTGGAACCCCCCCTCCCCCTCCCAAGTGGCACACTCACTGAAAACCCTAAGAGAGAAAAAACTTAGAGAGAGAGAGAGAAAAAAAATGAGTTTTACTGTCGAAATTAATGTCAATAGTAAAATTTTACTCTGTCTCACAATATAATTTTACTATGATTAACAATAAATTTTACTATAAAATTTTAAATTTTAAATAGTAAAATACATCATCATCATCACTAAACACCATAGTCACTATAATTATTAATAAACAATTACAAAAATATTACTTTAACATAGTAAAATGAAATAATCATATATAAAATAAAATAATCGTATATATATATATATATATATATTATTAAAAGTAGTGTTTTTTCCATACTTAAGTGGCACATTATAAGGTCTTACTTTTTTCTAAGAGAGTCACGCCAGTACGTATTTTTCTTAATTACATAGAGTTTTACACAAATCCAAACATAATTTAAATCATACTAACTTTACCTATTTTATATGAACTCTATTTGACAAATATTTCTTTTTCATCGTAAATTGAGATAATCCATAAAGTCAATACCAATTTTGCGTTTCATGTTGTTCTTCTTAATTCTTTCAAGGGTATTAGGATTTTGTTTTTAATACTAAATTGCATTTTTCTTCTTCTTATTTTTCCGGGCATTGTTCTATACCCAATACCTATTATATATTAAACTATATTATGAATTTGTCATTTAACTTTTATAGTGATTCTATATATGAAATTATATTTCATTTCTTACATTATTTTATAATCACAACTTATAGAAGGAAAAACCTGTACAACAATGATACTCTCGCGGAACCTCTACAGTTTGGATTTACTACTTGAGTTACTTTTTCAATTATTGAACAGTAAATTCCTTTATGTTTTGACATTATGTTATAGATGATTAATCACTTTACACACTGAGATGTATCTGTAGTTTGGATGTTTTCATTATTTTTTTCTTTTTGGGTTTAGATGTTATGTGATTCTTTCTTGGTTAGTTGTTGTTGAATTTCTTTTATATTGTTGATATTTTAATTTAATTAAGAATATTTATTTTACAATCTTGTAATTTAATATATATATATATAATATAAAATCATTATATGATAATCCAATTATAACATATTTATATTTAATTTTTTTATAATTTATATTTCTACATATTTTTATTTTATAAATGAATATAAAAGAAAATTAAATAATTAGAATTACTTTTAATTTTATGTTTTTAATTTTTTTCTAATTTACTATTATTTTTAATATCGAAATGAGTATTTATTTTACTATTTTATAATTTAATATATATCATACAAAATTATTATATGATAATTACATTTTTATAACACGATAGAACTAAAATTATCAAAATGCACAAATAATTTAACTAAAATAAATATATATAAGTATTCAAGTAACAATTTTGTAGAACAATAGTGCCAATATTATCAAAATAAATAATTAAAATCATACTTTAATTTTAATTTTAAATTAAAATTAAAAGTATTCTTTTATAACACACATTATACCATCAAATATTTTTAAAAAAAAAAATAGCAAGTTCATTGAATAGGTCAACTACTAATAACTTTAACAGAATAAAATTTTACCATTAATTTAAAAAAGAGCATTAGCAAATAAATGAGAGATTACATATTATTATAGAAGACTAGAGTAAAATTTTACTGTCACTTTTGAACAGAGTATCAGCAAAACAAAACATTTGACATATATTATCAAAACAAATCCTAGTAAAATTAATCTAATAAATGACAGTTCAATCACCGTTTGATTGTTCATTACATGTTATCAACAATCAAATAGTGATTGAATGATCCAACTCTGGCATGAATGCTGATCGAATGAAGTGATAGAACAAAACTCCAACTTTGTGACGGCCCCACCACGTATAATGATTAGCACATAATTAATTAAGGAGATTGAATATTAATTGCCAATTATTCTAATTTAATCTGGGATTTCTGAAATTTATGGAGATTGATTCGTATATGACTCTATTGAGGATTTATTTTGGAAATACAAATTGATTATCTAAATGGCTCAAGAGAGTATAAATGGCGAATTGAATTATTTTAATTTCGAGTGTTGGACCATGTAGGAATTTAATTAAATATTCGATTCAGGTTTATAAAATTGAGATTTAATTAATTGGGTCTGAATTGAAGTTAATTAAGTTATGAGGATTGAGAATTGTGGTTATTATGAATTAAATTTAATTATGAGGTGTTCAATTGAGTATGTAATTGATTGATAAAAATTTTGAGTATGATCTGAAATTGAAGGCTTGGGTGATTTACGACACCAAAATTGATTATGATAATAAATTCAATTTAATAATTGGAGCCTTTTGGGATATTGATTAAAATCTTATTCAAATTGATAAATTTAGCTATGATTGATTAGGACTTAATTGAAGTCAATTAGACTAACTGAGCTATGTAGGAATTTATCGATCATGATTAAATATGGTTAATTGTGGTTTAATTAAGTTAGTGTGTAATGATGTGCCAAACCAGTCTTAATCAATTAAATAAGATAAAAAAATAAAATAAAAATGAAGATGAAATGAAGTTAGGGAGAGTTCTGGAGCCATTCTTTGGCTGGAGGAATAATAATAATAATAAAAGGAAATGGAATCAAAAGGAGTGCAAGTGTGTTAACCCTCTTGGCTTCAAAAGTTCTGCTAAGGAAACCGTGGGAAAGAGAAAGGCAGAGAGAGAGCACCGAGAGAGAGAGAAAAACAGAGAGAGAATGCGAGAATGCAGAGAGGGAGAGATGGCTCAATTTCTTTGAAGAAGAGAATCACTTTTTGCTGGAAACCGTATGGGGACTCAAGAAATCCAACCATTGAGTAGTTAAGGTAAGAAATTGAAATTTAGATTTTATAAATAATTTAGCTAAAAGTTGAAATTAAGAAGTAATTTGAAGATTAATTATATAAATTGATAGGAAATTGGGTTTTGAATGTTAAATCAAGTTAGGTTGAAAAACATGAGTTATGATTCTTTTAATTTGTTAAATTTGGGTTCAATTTAGAGAATTATTCTTGGATTAAGTTCTATAAATTACATGCAACAAGGGTTCATTAAAGATTTGGCCCATGCAAATGAGTTAGGTTAATGATTATGGAAATCAACTTAGAAATTAATTATTTTGGGTTTGATTTTGCATATCTTATATGAATTTGAGTCTTATTTTTACATGCATATAATTTGGAGAAATTAAAGAATTAATTCATGAACATAGTTAAGGTTAATCAATATGAAAATAATTATAATTCTTCAATTGAGCTTGGGTTTGGAAACCTTGATATATATGAGATGTAAATTTATATGCATCATAGATTTCTTGGAATTGATTTCATGTTTTGATCAAATAAGAACTAAGCTTTGGAAAATTATGAATTTATGAACACATGAGTTCAATTTTTAAATTAAAGGAATTTTGATGTAATTGATTTAAAATTGATCATATTTTCTTGATTAATTGAGATTTTGTGTGCTTTTAGACAAGCCATGTATGAACCCAAGTTTTGAGATTATATTTTGAAAGTTTAATTCATGTTTTAGAATTTGTGAGTTCGGAATTGGGTTTGATATGGAGAAAATAAATTAAATCTAAATTGGAACAATATGAAAATAAATTATCGTTTATATTTGAGAATCAAAATTAGTTTGATTTTGATTTAAATTTTTTACATGTACGTATTTTTGAAAAGGCCTTATAGCTTCAATTTATGCTTTATTAAACAAAGAAAGAAGAATTGTGAAATTATTATATTCATGAAATTATTGGTTTTAATCTTAATGATCAAAGGGATTTTTGTATTAGAAATTCGAAAATTAGTCATGGGGTTTGACAATTGAAACTTCACAACACATGATTTATGTTTTATAATTTCATTGAAGTTGTAATCTTTCTTCAAATTGGAAGATTTGGGAGTTGATTTCAAGTTTGATTCCTATTTGATGTTGAAGGCCCGAATTCTAGCATGTTTATATGAATTTTTGGGAGTGAAATGCATGAAAATGAGGTGGAAATTGCAAACTTTGAGCTTCACACATGAAACAAAATTTCGGAAAACAAGGCACAAAATCTATTGTGGTCCGCACGTGCGGATTGGGCATCCTGCACGTGCGGTTTTGGTCAGGCTTGGGTTTTATTTTTCGCTCCACTTTATCACCTTCTGGGCCCTCGTTTGCATGATTTAAACGTGTTTCTCATATGCATTACATTTCATGAACACCCAGAAAGTGTAGAACAAATGATAGAACTGAACGAGTAAATAGTGAATGAAAACCGATTAAGAAAACAACAAATCGATTGAACGAGTGGACTGTGTATTGAATTGTTGTGCTTGAACTTGTTTGTTTAGGACGGACGCCGCACTGTTAGTGCATTGTAGCACATGTTTCGAGGAGCCCACTGTGAGTAACAATGTTGTAAAGCTATATTCAATTATAATTATTTTCTGAATGATTGACTGCACTGTTTTTTGAAATGACATTGTTTACTGAATGAATGTTTGTCCTATTTTATGAACTGTACTCGTGACATCCATAGCGACTGACTGTTACTGCTATTGTTACAGAGATCTCTGTCAGTTCCTATCCTTGGATCTACTGTTACTATATTGATGGCCATCAACTGACTGTTCGGTCTATTACGACCTGCTGTACTGTTCTACTATTGAATGTACCACGTATGACTGCTATGATTTCTAAATGACTGTTATGACATGGAATATGAGACATTGATTGAATAACTGATCTACAGATACAATTGACTGTTTTAATTACTGAAAGGACATTCGTTCTTAATCCCTTTACACATTCGTTATTCACTGAGCTTTAGCTCACAGTTTATTGTATATATGTAGATGGTCAGGCACCGGAGCGAAATTAGCAGCGTCAGCCTAATTTCGTTTTGTCAAGCCAACCTACTACGCCTCACATCGAGGTTCCAAACCGTTATTGTCAAGGCTTTGTTTTCGGTGGTCTAAATCCACCTCTTTTGAATGAATGCCATTTGGAGTCAAGTGAATGTTTCATAAGTTGTTTTGGCTTTGGGGTTTGATTCCCCAACATGGCTTTTATTTTGTACTTAGACATGTTTTGGACTTTAGTTTTTACATAAATATTGAATATGGACTTGGACTTATGTCTGTATTGGTATATATATATCAGTTATTTGTGCATTTAGGTCCTCACAGCTCTTTGTACATTATGTTGTAATATTTACAGGCTTCCGCCGACCTCTTCCATTGTATAATTGTTATTACTGTTAAGCAGGCCTTTAGTAATCACGGATTACTGGTCGGTTACGATGCTAAACCCTTAGAGGTGGGTTTGGGTCGCGACAAACTCCAACTCGAACATTGATCAAATGAAGTTTTGCAAACTCAATCAAACTCTCATGCTCTGCAAACTTGCAACTACGAACTGTATGGACTGCGATTAATGAAGGAAATTTTTGTTAGGTTAAAGAACGACAGCTTCGACATCAATCCTACTGAGAGATTTGTCTCTCATATGAAAGGACAAGATTGTCCAAAAAAATAAAAATATATGTTTTCGTTCTTCATGAAGTAGGCGTCTCTTGTTTAAGAAGTTTATAAAGCAAAAAATTTTAGACTGTCATTTTCGCTAAAAAGGAGCTCAATAAGAGGGCTATGGCCAAGAAAAATTGATTATTTCAAGAGGCTAGTGCCACTAATAAGATCTTATTTGGGAAGGTGTTTTAGATTATTTTTTTTTTAGATTTTTTTATGAGATGAAAAAAATATATATATATTTGGAATTTTTTTTTTTTATTTGTATTGAAAATTATAAATTATTGAAATGTTTGACTTTTTTTGGTGGCTTTATAACTTATAATATTTTTCGTGTTTTTCTTCTTTTGAATTTTGAATTTAAAATTTTTTACTTTTAATTATTTTAATAAAAAATTCAAATTATCAAACAGCCCCAAGTCAAGAGTAGCATTTTCAAGTGTCGTAGGTGAAAATTCCAGTGGCATTGCAAATGACACCAAACAGATATATTGCAGAATAAAGCTTCCGACCCCCACTGGAGGTGCTAGGGGGTCGTGCGTGTCGAGCCGGGATTGGCCAAAAAAAAAATTTTTTTTTTTTTTTTCTTTTGTTTTCAGCAAATGGCGTGCTGCCACGTCACTAGGGGTGTGAAGCAAGGTTCTATATTGCAAATGAGGAAATTTTAACATACGCACTTTGAAAAAGTTGCACCTTATACACTTTTAATTATGAGATTTTTATTGATAAATCTCATTTAGAAATATTTTAACCCAAAAAGTCCATGAAAAATTTATTAACCCATTTAATCCCATGTATGTATAGTTTTATTCCATAAAGTCCTTTTTCTTGATTTACACTCTTTTTTTAAACTCTTATGCCTTTATATTTAATTTTGATACCCTTACAAATATTTTTTGAACGGTTAGCAATTTTATGATGTAAATATTCATATTTTAACATTCACATTGGTAAGAATGTAAAATTGACCCGTGGCCCGTGGGCGGTCCAAAGATCGCCCCCAGGCCGGGGCGGGCCCGGTCCGTTGACAATGTGAATATTCACATTGACATGTTAACATTCACATTGATAGAAGTGTAAAATTGGCTCGCGGCTCGTGGGCAGCCTGAAACTCGCCCGTGGCCCGTGGGCTGCCCGGGGCGGGCCCGGCCCGTTGGCAATGTGAATATTCACATTAACATATTAACATTCATGTTGATAGGAGTGTAAAATTGATCTGTGGCCCGTAGGCGACCCGAAACCAGTCCGCGGGCCCGGCCCGGCCCGTTTACAATGTGACCATTCACATTGACATGTTAACATTCATATTGATATGAATATAAAATTGGCCCGCGGCCCGTGGGCGGCCCGTGGGTGGCCCGAAGCCCGCCCGTTGCCCGGGGTAGGGCAGGCTGTAAATATTCATATTTTAACATTCACATTGGTAAGAATGTAAAATTGGCCCGTGACTCGTGGGTGGTCCGAAGCTCGCCCGAACCGGGGCGGGCCCGGTCCGTTGACAATGTGAATATTCACATTGACATGTTAACATTTACATTGATAGAAGTATAAAATTGGCCCGCGGCCCGTGGGCTGCCCAAGGCGGGCCCAGGCCGGCCCGTTGACAATGTGAATATTCACATTAACATATTAACATTCACGTTGATAGGAGTGTAAAATTGACCCGCAGCCCGTGGACAGCCCGAAACCCGCCTGCGGACCCGACCTGGCCCGTTTACAATGTGAATATTTACATTGACATGTTAACATTCACATTGATAGAAGTATAAAACTGGACAGCATCTCAGTAGGATTGATGTCGAAGCTGTCGTTCTTTCCCTAAACAAAAATTTCCTTCATTAATCGCAGTCCATACAGTTCGTAGTTACAAGTTTGCAGAGCATGAGAGTTTGATTGAGTTTGCAAAACTTCATTTGATCAATGTTCGAGTTGGAGTTTGTCCGCGACCCAAACCCACCTCTAAGGGTTTAGCATCGTAACCGACCAGTAATCCGTGATTACTAAAGGCGCTGCTTAACAGTAATAACAATTATACAATGGAAGAGGTCGGCGGAAGCCTGTAAATATTACAACATAATGTACAAAGAGCTGTGAGGACCTAAATGCACAAATAACTGAATATATATATATACCAATACAGACATAAGTCCAAGTCCATATTCAATATTTATGTAAAAACTAAAGTCCAAAACATGTCTAAGTACAAAATAAAAGCCATGTTGGGGAATCAAACCCCAAAGCCAAAACAACTTATGAACATTCACTTGACTCCAAATGGCATTCATTCAAAAGAGGTGGATTTAGACCACCGAAAAACAAGCCTTGACAATAACGGTTTGGAACCTCGATGTGAGGCGTAGTAGGTTGGCTTGACAAACGAAATTAGGCTGACGCTGCTAATTTGCTCCGGTGCCTGACCATCTACATATATACAATAAACTGTGAGCTAAAGCTCAGTGAATAACGATGTGTAAAGGGATTAAGAACGAATGTCCTTTCAGTAATTAAAACAGTCAATTGTATCTGTAAATCAGTTATTCAATCAATGTCTCATATTTCATGTCATAACAGTCATTTAGAAATCATAGCAGTCATACGTGGTACATTCAATAGTAGAACAGTACAGCAGGTCGTAATAGACCGAACAGTCAGTTGATGGCCATAATACAGTAACAGTAGATCAAGGATAGGAACTGACAGAGATCTCTGTAATAGTAGCAGTAATAGTCAGTCGCTATGGATGTCACGAGTACAGTTCATAAAATAGGACAAACATTCATTCAGTAAACAATGCCCTTTCAGAAAACAGTACAGTCAATCATTCAGAAAATAATTATAATTGAATATAGCTTTACAACATTGTTACTCACAGTAGGCTCCTCGAAACATGTGCTACAATGCACTAACAGTGCGGCGTCCGTCCTAAACAAACAAGTTCAAGCACAACAATTCAATACACAGTCCACTCGTTCAATCGATTTGTTGTTTTCTTAATCGGTTTTCATTCACTATTTACTCGTTCAGTTCTATCATTTGTTCTAACACTTTTCTGGGTGTTCATGAAATGTAATGCATATGAGAAACACGTTTAAATCATGCAAACGAGGGCCCAGAAGGTGATAAAGTGGAGCGAAAAAATAAAACCCAAGCCTGACCAAAACCGCAGTGCAGGATGCCCAATCCGCACGTGTGGACCACAATAGATTTTGTGCCTTGTTTTCCAAATTTTGTTTCATGTGTGAAGCTCAAAGTTTGCAATTTCCACCTCATTTTCATGCATTTCACTCCCAAAAATTCATATAACATGCTAGAATTCGGGCCTTCAACATCAAATAGAATCAAACTTGAAATCAACTCCCAAATCTTCCAATTTGAAGAAAGATTACAACTTCAATGAAATTATAAAACATAAATCATGTGTTGTGAAGTTTCAATTGTCAAACCCCATGACTAATTTTCGAATTTCTAATACAAAATCCCTTTTGATCATTAAGATTAAAAACCAATAATTTCATGAATATAATAATTTCACAATTCTTCTTTCTTTGTTTAATAAAGCATAAATTGAAGCTATAAGGCCTTTTCAAAAATATGTACATGTAAAAAATTTAAATCAAAATCAAACTAATTTTGATTCACAAATATAAACGATAATTTTTTTCATATTGTTCCAATTTAGATTTAATTTATTTTCTCCATATCAAACCCAATTCCGAACTCACAAATTCTAAAACATGAATTAAACTTTCAAAATATAAATCTCAAAACTTGGGTTCATACATGGCTTGTCTAAAAGCACACAAAATCTCAATTTAATCAAGAAAATATGATCAATTTTAAATCAATTACATCAAAACTCTTTAATTTAACAATTAAACTCTCGTGTCATAAATTCATAATTTTTCCAAAGCTTAGTTCTTATTTCATCAAAACATGAAATCAATTCCAAGAAATCTATGATGCATATAAATTTACATCTCATATATATCAAGGTTTTCAAATCCAAGCTCAATTGAAGAATTATAATTATTTGCATATTGATTAACCTTAACCATGTTATGAATTAATTCTTTAATTTCTCCAAATTATATGCATGTAAAAATAAGACTCAAATTCATATAAGATATGCAAAATCAAACCCAAATAATTAATTTAAATTGATTTCCATAATCATTAACCTAACTCATTTGCATGGGCCAAATCTTTAATGAACCCTTGTTGCATGTAATTTATAGAACTTAATCAAGAATAAT